TTGCTGCTTCATTGTGCAGCCTCAATCGTATGAAGCGGTGGCAACCTTAGACCTGCGAGGAATTCTGATTCACAATTAAGAAGTGGGAGACTCCGTCCTGGGATGCAGGAAGACTGGAGGACTTCCCTGACGATGACCTGGAAGTGGAGCAGGTGGAGAAGGAGTGTCGCACTGCTTCGACACTCTGGGTCCTGAAGATGGGCTTGCGCGTCCCAGGAATCTGAAATTGACCTGGAAGAATCAACACACTCTGACTCTGAAAAAAGAATCTGAGTTTATTTCAAATCCTAAAATAAAAAATAAAATAGTGGAAGAATCATTTCAGTTTCAGGTCCTACAGTTTTGTTTACAGCTAAAATTGGTTTAAAAAAAAACATCTCTTCTAGCGCATTCCAAGATGGGTTTCTAAGTCCATGTAGGAAAGTTAACTCTCCTATACGTATAATGTAGCAACTTTTGAAATCTGAGTAACGATGACGCTTCTTGACAAAAATATGAAGGAGGAAATGCACTTATAAAAGACTCTTAAATACGAGTAAAAATAGAGCCAGACGATAATGACTGCTTTCTATCAATAGAAGCATTTATAAAGAGAAATATAAACAAGACTGCATAAAAGACCAAATTTAAATAAGATACTACATTGATTTTTAATATTTAGTCATTCAGCATTAAAATATGCTAACTGGAGATTCTATAGATATTAAGGCAGAATCTATGAGCTGCTAGTTCAATGTCACAGCAACATTCACAAAACATTAAAATACCGCTTCACGGTAAAATAATTCTGTCAACTGGCCGCACCTTGACCCATGAAGTACAGATTAAGATAGAAAAGGAATGTAATTTCAGTCTGTGAATGCTTTGCATGCCTGTCTGCATGAGAATGTGTCTTATGTTGTCTTTCTTATTCCTCCTTTCTCTCTCCTCTTTGCAGGAGCTGGCAATTGCGCATCCACACGCTGGAGAGACTTGTCTGAAGCAGTTACATCCCACCCGTGGCTTGTCGGTCTCGAGCAAGGTTACATTCTCCTACAGAAACGCAACAGTTATGTTCAGATCTGCACATGCTGTTTGTCGGAGGAGTTTTTACAGTCGACTTCCTTACAGCTGGCAGACACAACCAGAATTCGGCGGGGGATGCATCCTATTTTGCCTCCGGCTGGTGTGCGGACGAAACTCGTGATTTGTGCGGGCTGTTTGGTTTTTGGATCTGCCTTGCTTAATCCAGCAAACCCCTTTACAATATTGGGTAAACATACACTAAGATACATGTTTTTTGATGCAAGAAATAGGCAATGAGTACAGAAATCTGAAGTTGAATCGATCATGTTTATGCAAATTTTAAGATACGGGCAAAAGTTGGGTCAGTTGCCACTGTGGCATATCCATCATGCACTGCCGGATCCGTTGACTTCACATCGAGTCAATGGATCCAGTGTGTCGGCACAAAAATGACAAAACTGAATCTATTTTTGGAGTTGAGAAATTGGAAACCTAGATGTTTTAGTGTGGAAATAATACATAGTACACAAAAGAAGAACATCCTATCCTAGGTGTTATCAGCTTGTTGTGGATACTCGTGTATATGTTAAGGTACTCCAAGCTGCAGTATTTTAACCCCCAAAGTCAGAAATAATGCCCTCACTGGTCTTTTAGCTGTCACACTGTGTAACATGTCTGTGAAACAGGAAACAAAAGGCCTGAAAGAGCCTAGAAAAACATTATACACTGGGATCTCCTGTCTGATACATTTTAGTGCTCACTCTATCTCTCTCTCTCTCCCACACACACTCACATACAATACACACATACACTGTGACTATGTTGCGTAAAGCTTCTGTTTTGGTGTTATCTAGTTTGATTAGAAGTGCAGAGGTGTATCAGTAGTAGCCATGTATGTTGTTTTTGATGTATGTGCCCTAGTCTGACCTGCTGTGTGTGTGTGGGTGTGTGTGTCGTGTGGGTTGTGTGTGTAAAGGCTGCCAGGGGGGATGGCTTGGGAGTTGGTATTCGGGAGCGAGCAGGCTACACAAACCGCTCAGAAAACGCCAGGGACCTTTTGAGTACGACGTCCAGCCAGAGCACCCACAGAAGCCAGTAAGAAACACAAACTCACAGTCACCTTCTAAATTATGTAAATTAACCAACAATGTGGTCAATGTAAGAAATCTTTACTAACATCCTTATTTAAAAGTAAAACCAAGTTTTGCTTAGCCTGTGTCTTAACAAACATTATGTTACTCAATAAAGGAGAAGTAATTGCCTTCTTCAGAACCAGTCTTGCTACACTGGAACAGTCAGGCCTGTTTTAGACCAGTTTTGTTTCTATTGTGTCAGTCTCCTATTGTGTATCAGCACTGTTTTATCAGATCTAAGTCTACATGTGCTGGTTGTTGCTGAAACAGTTGGGCCACATAGGATGCATGAGCAGTGCATGAAGGGGTTTTTCCATGACTGTGGCATATTCTACAGATAGACATTGAAACTGTAGTGAAAGGTGTACATGTTGCTTATATAATGTCGATATGAGTATGAACAGACCCTTTTCACTGTCTGTTTTTGCTGGAATCCGCATGCGGCTTTTGCAAAAAATAGGCAAGACCTTGACTCTGCTGCTGCAGCTGAGACGGGTGTTAGACGCAAGTTTGAAAGATTAGTTTAACTAAGCAGAGAAACTAGTAGCCTGGCTCTTTCTAGTACCTATAAAGATCACAAATGAACATATAGTTAGCATATATTGTATCATATATATTTGTTTTAATTTGTGCAAAAGCAAATAGCTGTAGTTGTAGCTGAGAGTTGCATGTTGTATCTCTTGGTGAACAATTGCCAGGAGTAACTTACCGAATTGTCATCACGTGTTTTTATAAAAATGTAAAAAACAAGGCATGATGTGTTATTATTAATTAGTGAGCTTTACAGGAGCTGGTTGGTGGATTTCTGATCATCTACTTTAAATATTGGCAGGAAAGCAAATAAGTGCATTTCCCAAAATGTCAAACTGTGTTTCCTAAGCAGCACTACAAGAAACTTTACCAACTTTGTCCTTGAATGCCAATATGCTGCACTTAGTTAAAGTGTCTTCTGTGGAACACTATTAAGTGAGCGCAGTATGGTAGTCCATACTGATCAAGGCTTGAGAGAGACAACAATACTGAATGTGAAATGTGAGGGAGGAGTGGGAGACTGTGGTGGGGAATGCTTTAATAGTGAACACAACAGTGTTTTGTTATTCCCATCACTCTTTCCACTGTGGCAGTAGCTCTTTCAAGTTTACTCAGCCTGGCTTACACAGAACTAAACCTGCATATCATAAGCAGTAATTAAATGTATGGCATTTAATTTTTTTCTATCCTACTATTTAAATCAATAGCTTACGTCTGCAGGCCTCAATCATTTACTTTCATTACGGATCCCCGCCTTAGTACTCGACTGACATTATATCGAGCCAAGTTCCCATCCTCTCTCACTTCCCTCTCTTGCTCTTTTGTCTCATAGTGGCCAAATCCCTAGCTCCCGACATCAGGCAGTCCCGACCAATCCAAGTCCCAGTAAGCGCCACTCCCAGCCTCTGGCTAGTTACCCAGCCAGTCTCACCAGCCCCCTCTTGTCACCCCATCCTTGCCAATTCTGGTTAATCACCCAAACCAAAAGAGCCTTATTACTGCTGCAGGCTTCCCATGATCTACATGCCAGAAAGAGAGTGACAGAGGGGAAGAACAGAGGGGAATAACAGCACTATTGTCCTTCAGTGCTTAATGGGTCTCTTCTATGGTCCAATCTGGTTTAGCAATAGCCCTGGGATCATAGTGTGATGGTCCCTTGGAGCCTCAACAGGGTGACACTTTGCCAGGGTGGAAGCTCGGTCAGTCCTTGCCTGTGGTTGGAGAGCCGGGATGTGAGATTGATGGATGATGGGAATGAAAGAGACAAGAAGAGAGGGGTGGCAACAGGGATTGTTCGAAGCAAGATGTACCATGGGAGCAGTGAGGTTATGCCCTGCCCTGTAGCTGAGTCTGAGTAATTCCATATGGTGCCAGTGCCAGCCTGAGAGAACTCTTACTGATGGGCAGAGGATGCTTCAATCAGTTCATTTTAATGTAGTTTGATATGTTAAATAACTCTTAAGACAAGGTGCTTCTGTACTTAACTTTTAGCCATTGGCACAAGAAAGGTTTGAAGATGCTCAGAAAAAAATATTATTTGCTTCCCTCTCTCTGGAGTCCCAAAGTAGGGGGAGACTTTTAAAGCCAAGATGTATTTATGTTAATGTCAGAGTTTGGATTTATTGGTATAAGGTGGTAGGGGTTGGACATTTGCTGATGTAAGAATCCTGTTTATTCCGAGTAAAACAACAGAAAACAAGGTGAAGCTAAAGGAGCCAAAGGGCAAATGTAGAAATATTTTAACTATGTACAGCAGAAGACATATTTTGTGCATTTGCTTCATTCTCCCCTCAGCGGTTCTGAGTCGACACATTTGAGTGCATTTGCATATCACACTGCTACATTACGTTAAAGGCTTTAAACTCGTGCCTCTGCCTGCTGCTCATTTTTGTGCAGCAGGCACTCAGTGTTGTTGCTGGCAGGAAACTGGATGTCAAAAATATGCAGCATCTAGCAAGCTTGTTTTCCAGGTCTGTTGTGTCTCTGGGTCAGCAGCAAGTCAGTTATGTCCTCTTTGCTGCTATCATTTTTGTCTGGCAATCCATCTGCCTGCTGGGAGATCTCTGATTACAGAACTTGATCAGCTTATGTACAATGCATTAATATCACTGACAAGTAACTCATACCATCTTATTCTATGTCAAAATCGAATGGTCTTATTTCCTGCATTTTGTGACTTCTTTATATACTATGAAATTATTATGAAAATACAGCAAGAAAACTGCATGTTCATAACAGAGAAGGAAGCACCTGCTGAGCATAATCAAATAAAGACTCATATCACTTAGTTCTCTGTAGCATACAGTGAACATAAACACAGGCTCTTGTGTTGTGTGTTCTCTGCATTAAGTAAGCCTTGATCAGAAGAAAACAGAGACTATCATTGTCTCCAGGCCAAAGCAGAAACTGTCTAGACTGCCTCAATGCCCGTTAGCTGTTTGTTGTGTCTGCTGACAACGTAACCGTGGAGGCTGCACTTCATAAAATGATGTGGGAGTATTGAGTTGATATTTAGATGTTAAAAAATATAGTTTAGGCAGATTTCGAAATTTGAGCAAACATGCGAGAAGGTTCGGGAGATTTAAAGCCATGGGGGAACACTGGGGTGGAAAATCATGAATCTCTTGGGAAGTTGAATAGGGTTGACAAGTATGGATTCCTTTTTTCCCATCAACTCAAACCCCATTTAAATAATGGAGGAAGAACAGGCTTTTACCAAATATCCATTAATATAGTATTCATTACCCTGCACCCATTTTCTTTGATGTCTCTCTTAATAACATCCCTCTGGATATTCTGCCTTAATACCCCCTTATTTTGCTTATCCTTTGTTTTTCTCTCTTCTTCTCTTCACTCCATCTTTCCTACTTACACATTTGCCCTCTCCCTATTCTCTCTGTCCTCCCCCACCCCCAACCCCGTCACCACCCTTACCCCTCTCTTTCTGTCTTTGCCCCAGGTCAAGTCTCCAACTCTAGCAGTGCTGAGTGATGACTCTGGCCGCACACTGACCTCCTCCGACTTTAACTTGCGCTGTTTGACCCCAGACCAGAGAGTGGAGGGGCTGCTGGCCTTCAGCAGCCCAGAGGAGCTGGATCGCTTCAACCAGGAGGCACGACAGGGGCACAGACACCCCGAGCTTTTTGCTCTGTACCCACCAGCCGATGAGGTGGGATATAGAGAGAGTTGGTACTCGCATGCTATAATATACCAGTGCATGTATGCGTATTGAATCATGTGGGTTAGAGTTCAGCAGTATACCATGCTTTATTCCCCAAATGTTTTTGGCTATCTTGCCTTCATCAGGGTGGAATCCTGTTTTGTCTCTGTTTTTTTTTTATATACAGTCAATCAGTAAAATGTGAAGAATATGAATTATCATAAATACAAGACATATAATATGAATGTATATATACATGTGTGTATATATAAGACATATAAAAAAATTAATCTGAAATTATCTAAAGCCCCTAAAGCACCCTTTTGAATCAAAAATTGAAGGATTGCTTATTTCTTGTACACAATTTCTTTGGAGCAATTTTTCATTATTTTCTGACATTTTATAGACCAAGCTATTGACAAAAAAATAAAGTTACCTGCCTAAGTAGAAACACAACTCTAAATGTTAACAGTTAACATATGAAAAGCATCACCATTTAACACATCCCTTGCCTGTAAATGGCTTTACTTCTATTCCTTGTTAACAATTGAAGTAGATTTGTCCGTTCTGTAGTTCAGTCATTCATTAACACCTGTGAATCTTGTTTAAGATCCTAAATCGCCTCCAAATGTTATAACTCCTCCATTTTTGTATGGTTTGAAAACTTTCTCTGCTATTGTGTTCCAGGAAGATGCAGTGGAGATCCGGCCCATCCCTGACTGCCCCAAAGAACACACTGGAGAACGCGTACTGATCCGATGCCAGTCCATCAAGTATGTCATACATTTTCCTAATACTGTAGGATGGGGAATTTAAACAGCTGCCTTCTGTTTCTCTTAAAAGCTGAACAAGGAACCAACAGTTAGTTGTGTTAAAGGGAAATTCTTCTAACACCCCCTTGTTTGTGAAAATCTTTTTGCTTAGCATTTAACATACAGTACATTGTTCTATGTCACATCTGATCACGACTTAAAAGTCTTGAGTAGTCGTTTCAAAAAGGCTTTGCAGTAGATGTGACGGACAGCGCAGTGTGAGAGAGCGGAAGATTGCTGTGCAGTGGTTGTTGTTCTTCTCCAGAAAATCTCTGTCCCTCCCTCTCTCTGTGGGATTTTGCCTCTGTGTCTTTTTCTCTTTCTTTCTGTCATACACACACACACACACACATAGAGTATACACAGAGGTCCTCTGCCTTTCACTCTTGATCTCACTCGTTCTTCTTGCAACCCATAAAACTGCCAAATGCTTTAGTTGAACTCATTTCTCTGCTTGCAGTGGTTTGGCAACTTTGTCACCTTATCCTTTAACCCCTCAGTTCAAACATGTCATCACTTACTGTAGTACATATTGTTGCTTCCCAATACAACAATAATCTTCAGGAATAGCATAGAATAGGAAAAATAGAGTAGATTCAAAGTACAGTAAAAGGAAAAACCAGAGCACTAATGTTGAGTATGTTCAGTATTTGTCTCTCCTGCTATTATTCAATTACTCATTTCCTTTTCCTTCTTGGCTTCATAGGTTTGAGATTGACATTGAGCCCGTATTTGCCACTATGGCCTTGTATGACCTGAAAGAGAAGAAAAAGGTAAGAAAATCTTTGCTTCTTATTAACCCCTTCAATCTCTAACGTTGTCTTAATGGTGTGTCTAATGTTGACTGAAAGCATGTTATGGAAACTTGTGTAACATGTTCACCTTGCCACTTACAGTACAGGGATCGGTCAAAATAACAACTTACCATACAATAGCCCTGCAGTAAATACCAGTTTGGTGGAGCTCATTATGTGTGTTTGTTGTGGAGACTGTCAGAGTGTCTTTCAGTTTGTGCTGGGTCCACTTGTGACCACAGTTGTACTTAAACTTATAACTTGCACAGTCTTTTTGGTATAAAATGTTTTCTAATTGGTCTGTAAATATATGTCTGATTTATTAGGAGGCCATTTCCTTAAGGAAGATACACAAGCAACATAGGTGTTTTTTCTTTTCTTCAAACTGTTGAGAAGAGCAAGACATTGAACCCCAGCTGTTCTTTAGGCCAATGCACTGCATGGTAGGATTAATATGTGGTAGTGTAGCAAGAGGAAGCATCTCCACAATCATGCCAAAACAGAAAATGCCATTAACAGAAAAGAACACTGGTAGTAAGTAAGTGAAACCTCACTGACTGAAGTGTAACAGGAAGTTTAGTTAGTGACTTTGATGACGAACTAAGTAGAATTTATGATAGAGGTTCAAAAATGCTTTAGCAATAGCCCTGGAATCATAGTTTGATCAAGCCACCCTTGCTTCTTCATGGTAGCTGTTTGTCGTGCGGGGAGGTCTCATAGTTTCTTTTGGCAGTCAGCGTGGCAGTGAGGGATCAGTGTAATCTACAAGGTTTTATGTCTGTTCATCCTCACATATTTACACCCCCGGGGGTCGTCATGTTTTGGTTCTATAACTTCTAATACTGCACTGCGTTTTCCCAGTCAACCATTTTGAGCCAGGGCTGTTTGTGTGTTTTCTGTGGATTTTCACAGCTGGATAGTTTTTTGGGTGGAGGGCCTGGAAGGATTTAGTTTGTACTTAAGTGCTCATGGATCTCTCAGATGAGACAGGGTTTTAGCCACTGTCCTTGCCCTCCTCTCAGCGCTGCCCAGCTGCTTTCTAGCTTGTCTGGAGGACTGATGGCTCTAATGGTGGGTCTGCTGGGTAAGATGGGGCAATTTAATGTCCAGTAATTGAAAAAAAATTAACTATATGTAAGACGGTCTTGGATAGGGGTGTAAGAAAATATTGAAAAATATCGTATTGCAATATTTTATTTGGCGATATTGTCAATCCGTAAGAGCAGAGCTTTGTCAGTGTGTTTGCTTAAGATGACAAATTGTATTACGTGTTAAACTGAAGTATGTCCTTGTGGAGGTTAATACCACTTCCTGCCTATTACATTGAGCAGAGACAGATCCAGACTGTTAAAGAGCTATGAAATGTGTCTCTGTCTGAGTGAAGGAGAAACTGCCAAGCTTGTTAGATTTAATTGTAGTGGAACTGTGAAGCATTTGCTACTGACCCATTTATCTCCAAACCCTTCACACATTTACTTTCTTTTTCACTTTCTGTCCTTCCCAACTCTCTCTCTCTCTCTCTCTCTCTTGTTTCATTTCCTCTGTCTCCTCCAGAGTGTTATATTTTATTTTCTACCACATTCCTGCTGCATATTTGCCTCATTTTGTGTCTGTTTCCCTGCATCCCTTACTGTTGTCTCTGATGGGATTTCTGTTGCTGTGTCTGTGTTTGCTTTTTTGTCCACATCAGTTTTGTTTTTTCACATCTGCAAAATCTGCAGCAGATGTTCATATAATTCCATATAATACTCTTGTTATTAATCATGCCTCTCTGGTCCATCAGCCAAGGTGCAGACACACGATTTGACCCAACAAGTGGTCTACTTATCATATCAGATTCACACATATAAACAGAGAACAAGTTTTTAGAGCAAACGGACAGATATGCCGTCACGGTAAAAAGACTTACGAAATGTCTTTCTCTCCAAGTTTACTACAGGCATTTACAAGTCTTGTTGTTGTTATAATACAAGATTAGGCAAGCCTAGTTTTGCTGGACTGTGACTGGAGCCTGTTGGGAGGGCTCATTCAGAACAAGTAAACCACAGTGTTTTTTTTTTTAAATATGCATTAGATACTCTGCAGTCAGATAGCTACGTGTTGCAGTCTGTCTGTTGTTTGATTGACAAGACATTTCTTGGTCATTTAAGCAGTGGTCTCAGTAAGCGTTATAGCTGCAGATTCATGGAGCTGTATTAGAGAATGCTGTAGGGCAAGTATAGGTTATCACGATTCATCACATTTAAATTAAGTTGTTAAAGGGGTTTTAAAGGTTGCCAGATCTTGCAACACAACTGGCAAATTGGCAACACTGTTGCAAGTGTGTGTCATTAGAAAATGTTAACCATTTGCTCTTAAACAATGTTTGTCAGTCAGTCAGATAGATAGGCGCTGTGGCCTGACAAACATGTCATTTTAAAAAGAGCCACAACATTCCTTGTGTCTAATTTAATCCAAATTTAGTGTTTGAAGGCTTTCACAAGTGAATGTTACTGATTAATTATGATCGTTAACTCAGTGAACACTTGCACTTTGTTTGACATGTTTGTCCTGCTTAATGATAATATGAAGCATATGCTATTTAATTCAGCTGGCTCTGATTATTAAGAAGTGATTCCAAAATGTCATTTCTCAGTAAGAGGTGGGCTCCTCCATTGCACTCTTTAGAGAAGCTTACTTCTTCTTAACTTCCTTATTTCTATTGCAAACTGTGTAGGGGTTTCTGGCATGTCAGACCACTATTAACAATCAAATTTAAAACAAACCAAAAGTGATCAACCTAAAATACTTTTCAGAGTGTGTAATCTGATCACAGTTGCTGTCTTGAGCATTCCAGTAAAGAAAGCAGCCAGGTTTGGCTGCCTAGAAGTCTGCTTTGGTGTGGTCAGTGTAATGGAGGTCCTGTGGGATGAGCAGAATGAAGCAGAGTGCTTAATGGCTTTCCAGTGAATAGGATCACATGACACACAGCAAGCCAAGCCAGACCAGGACATATGGCTGTGTTCCTAGCCTGAGGTTATTAGGAAGGTGAATAGAGAAACAGTGGAGTGGACTAAATGGATGATATTCCCGGATCAGTCTTTAGTTTACATGAAACCTTTTCTAAACTTATTTCTTCAATATTTCATTAGAAAACATTGTACCTTAAAGTGATGTTTTGCATTTTGTCATTCCCTCAATTTGATGTCCATAAAATTCTATCAAAAGTCACCATGTATGTGCTTTTTGTAAAGAGAGTTTTTCTGGCTCTCAAAAGTTAAACTTTTCATCTTTGTCTCTCTTCAGATTTCGGAGAACTTCTACTGTGATCTGAACTCAGAACAGTTTAAAAACTTCTTAAAACCTCACACTCCACATGTGGATCCGTCAACCCAGGCCAGATCTGCCATCTTCTCCATCACCTACCCTTCCCCAGATATCTACCTGGTCATCAAGGTAATAATTAATTTTCCTCCTTGCTTTATATAACTTCCTGTTTAAACTACTCCCAAATCGGTTTTATATACCTGTAATTCATTGCAGCTCATCTTTGTATCTCTGTCTCTTTGCCAACAAACTATGGATGTTTTTTAGTTAGATTATACTGGGATGCTCTGATGGCTCATGCACTTCCTGCCTTTGTTTTAGATCGAAAAGGTTCTCCAGCAGGGTGAGATCAGCGACTGTGCTGACCCCTACATAACATTGAGGGAAAGTGACTTTGCAAAGGTAATATGGCCGAGCAATTGTTTGTCACTTCACAGTCGAACCACAAAGAAGATACTGCAGATTTAGCATACTATGTTCTGAAGTTGAAGGCATTTTTTAGCATTCATGTTTAAACATTTTAATTTTGCTTTTGGTCTTTCAGAATAAGGACAAGCTTGAGAAGCTGCGAGGCCAGGCAGAGACGTTCTGCCATAGGCTGGGTCGATATCGAATGCCCTTTGCCTGGGCCACCGTTAATATCATGGAAGTCATCTCTACTGCTATGATTGACCGTGATGTCACAGACTCTGACAGCTTAAAAGGAGGTGTGCGCTTGTGTGTGTGTTTGTTGTAATAAGGAAAACCATGTGATGACTTTCCATGGATTGTGTATATATCTGTGTGTGTATCATTTGACCCATGACCTTTACACTTTGTTTTTCCAGGTAAATCCAGCAGCATTGACCGGAGAGCACAGCTTCCCAGGAGGAATTCTGAACGTTACAATACCATTGATGATCAATTTTGTAGCATTTCTGCCTTCAAACCTGCAACCATCACTGTCAACACCATCTTCAAACAGGTTTGACCACTACCGGAACACAAAAAAAACAGACTAGTCTGTGAAAATTTTTATTTCCTTGAGATACAAAATGAAGCATAACAAACAGGCTTGTATATACTAGCCTTGCCATATGTCATTCTTTGATTGAACATGCCATACCATCAGTTCTAGTAATGTTTCTACCATAAAGACATGACTTTGGATAAATCCGGTTAGAGTGTGTCAAATTGAGTGTCAAGCACTGACCTCACTGTTAAAACCATCTCTATTATTTATATTTGAAGCAAATGCTGCAATTTATCTGTTTGTTTTATTCTAACATTATATTCTGAGGTTTATTTTGCTTCTTCTCACCCTTGCCTTTCAATGAATGCAAAAAAAACAATCAGTTGCTAACTGCTTCTGTGTCTGTGTGTCAGGAGGGAGACCGTTTGAGTGATGAGGACTTGCTCAAGTTCTTGGCTGACATCAAGAAATCCTCCACTCCACAGAGGAGAATCAAGACAATATCAGGTCATCTCTCATCACATCTAAACACTTGTTCTGGGATTTTATTTTATTTTATTAACTGAGGGAATAGTTTAGCAATTTCAACTTTCTTGCACAGTGTTGAGAAGATTGATACCACTCTTACATCTGTGCAGCTAGTTAGCTTAGCACAATTACTTTAATCTGTATTTTTCAAAAAGTCTTTTTTTCTGCACTTGGCCAAGAAATAGCTCAGCGCATAAGCCCTTGTAAAACCACAACATGATGTTTTTATGTTAGCTGCTACTGTCTGCGACTTTATACTTATTGGACAGACATGAGAGCTGTATGGATTTTCTCAACTTACTCTCAGCAAGTAAACTAAAAAGCATGTTTCCTTAAAATGTAGAACATTTTCTTTAAAATCGGTTTGTTTTTATCAGTATGGGTCTGTTTTTGTATTGATTATGGAATTTCACTTATCCTTTGTCTTCCAGGTGCCATAAAACTGGACATGAGTCCAGTCCACGACACGCCATTGGGATGTTTGTCCACTGAGCTCATCCCTCTGATACCTGTGGCTGAGAAGAACACTCGGCACCTCATTAAAGAGGTGCTGGAGTTCCCATCCAGTGAGGTTTATGTCCCTCACAACATTTACAGGTGGGTTAGAAGGCGGAATATATAACTGAACACACTCTGTTTACAACTTTTGGATATGGACTATTTTATTCAAAGCCACTCAACGCAGTGGGAGGAAGGAAATACGATTTTTTTATTTGTTTAATCAAATGTTGTTTCTGTGTTTAAAATAATTTTGTCTATCATTGAGTAAAGGAAAACCGCTTATACAAAACTTCCCCCACAACAGGATGAAATACACGGAAGGTTTCAAAAAGCAAATGATTCATAGCTTGAGGTGTAAACAGGTTTGTTTGCTCTTACAGGCAAGTTTATTTGTCTAAAAGGCCAGAGGCACTAGGAACAGTCATGCTCTACTCATCACTCAAGAGCTGACATCGCTTTGCGGCTTTGCACATTTTTAGTGTAGTGCCTATTTTTAGGCATTTCCATCCAGGCTAGGTGAAATTGCCTCATAGTGTAACAACAAGGAGGCAGCCTGTGTGAGCAGAGGTTTAAATCAATTCTAAAATGGTTTTGCTTGAAACGTTAGTACCTTCATGTGTGAACAAGTCCCCTGCATGGTAATTATATACCCACATTCTCTGAGCATTTGTTCAGTGGAATCTGCGGTATTTCGTTGTATTCCAGGTTTCAAGACAGATTACAGTGTTGTATTAAAACCACAGGTCAAAGTAAATTACTGGTTGTTTGGACTCTACTGTGACATTACTGTCACCTTAGCGCTACATGACTAAGAAGTTGCTGTGCAGACAGTGCCATCTAGTGATGTATATTGGAACTGCTTAAATTTATACAGAGAAGGGTTTTGCATGCTTTTTACATGTACTAATTAAACACTCCTTCTCTCCCTATATCTCTGTAGGAACCTGCTCTACGTCTATCCCCAGAGGCTTAACTTTGTCAACAGGCTAACATCAGCAAGAAACATCACCATCAAAATCCAGTTTATGAGTGGAGAAGACCAGGCCTGCTCTCTGCCTGTGAGTGCTGCTGGTTTCTCATAACATTATTAAAACCGTGAAATAGATTTGTCCAAGAATTTCCACTGTATTTGCTCATAGAAGTGTGTGCATCGGCTAATGTAACATGTCCATATGATCATTGAAAAAGTAATTATTCCACCATGACGAGATCACAAATGCATGGTAATGCATTTTCAATGAAAGTGATGGTGGACAAAATCTACAGTCCTTGTTTTGTGCAAAAATGTGTTCAAAAGTTCATCTGAATCTTAAAGGAGGTTTCAGCTGTTTTATTTGGACAAATTAAGCGGATATCTTACAAAGCCTTTTTAGTACAAAATTCCCCCTTTCAGTGTCTTAAGACAGACTTGAAAAACTATGAACCTATTCTTTAAGGAGGTTTTATTTAAGTGTGTTTTGAAAGCCAGTCATTTTTAGAAACTGTTACAGAATCACTAGTACCAGCACTGTAAACCCCGTATTTTGCAAATGTTGTGCTGTTGGACAGAAGAGTATCACAAGTTATTATACCTATAATTTATATATTTATTTCTTGGTCCATTCTCAGGTCATTTTTGGGAAATCAAGTTCCCCTGAATTTTTACAGGAAGTCTACACCCCTGTCACCTACCATAACAAGTAAGTACACATTATTGAGTCACATCATACTGTTTGTGAGCTTATTGTTTTTATTTAAGCAGTCTGAGTAACTTCTCTCTCCCTCACACACTCTGTGTTGTGGTTACCTTCTTTTTTCTCATCTGTCCCTTTTTCTATCCTTGGCCCTCACCCATCCCTCTTTTCCACTGTGTTTCTGCCTTTGTTACTCCCTATTTCTGTTTTTCTCAGGTCCCCAGACTTCTATGAGGAAGTGAAGCTAGCTCTCCCAGCCCATCTGACAGAGCGACATCACTTGCTATTCACCTTCTACCACATCAGTTGCCAGCAGAAACAGAACCAGAGCGGCAGCTGTGAGACGCTCATTGGATACTCTGTGAGAGTTTGTCCTTTACTTCCCAATCATGTTCAAAATGTGCTAGCACCTCGAAGCACTGCTGTGCCTAATTACATACTCAGAGACACTAGCATGGTTGAAGAGTGTTTTTAAAACACAGGAACAAATTACTTTTAAATTAAATAATATTCATTTAATAATTGTATACAAGTTCACCTTTTTATAAACTGACTATTTAGAACATTTTCTCACATACTTATTGTTTGCTTTTCATCTAGTGGCTGCCCATATTGAATAATGACCGACTACAGACTGGTCAGTTCTGTCTGCCCATTGCCTTGGAGCGGCTACCTGTCAACTATTCACTGCACACTCCTGAGGTATACACATCTGTTATTTTTATATTATTATTATTATTATTATTATTATATCATGCATGTTCATATTATGTTAATGTATGTAAAGGAGTAAAGGAGTGTCTTTGTTGTGTAGAAACTTCCTGCTCAGGCCCCCCCGGTCAAGTGGATGGACAGTCACAAAGGACTTTTCAACCTGGAGGTCCAGGCTGTGTCATCTGTACACACACAGGTGAGTAGTTTGATTAAGATGCTGATTTGCTTCTGCATAACAGTGGCTATTCTTCCTGGGGTCCAGTAGTGGTTGCGCAGACAAACACAGTGACTGTACATTTTGCTTGCCCTCGCTTCCACCCTTTGTCTGTCATGCACACGAGTAGGTTACACATCAATGCGCAGACACATAACACGACAAGTGACACCCTGGAGCATTACATGTCCTGTTACTTGTCTCTTTCGTTGTCACTTTTTATCTCTATGCTCCCCCTCCAAGTACCAGCCTGCAACAAATCCTCTCGTTTTCTGTACCAGGACAACCACCTGGAGCGTTTCTTCACCCTCTGCCACGCCCTGGAGGGTGGAGCTATATTCCCGCTGCGGGTCAGGGAGGAGAAGATTCCAGAGAACAAGCTGGAGCACGAGCTGAAGCTCAGCATCATTTCTCTGTCCTCCTCCAGCTTAGAGCCTCTGGTCCTCTTCCTCCATCTGGTGCTTGATAAACTCTTCACCCTCATCATGCAGCCCATGGTCATTGCTGGTCAGACTGGTGAGGAGTTGGCTTTACTTAAATAATTGAGTGAAGTCATTGTTGCTGTGTCGAAATGGCATCTCACTAATTTTGTCAGCCAATTGCTCTTTTATCAAGCAAACAAGTATGTCAAAAATCCCATTGCACCAGCTTCTCTATTGCAACGATTTGCTGCTTTTCTCTGTTTTGCATTGCTGTATATTGAATATATTTGGTGTGGTGGACAGTTGGTCGGACCAAGGAATACATTTGAAGATGGAAACTTTCTGTGGGAAATTCTTCCGTATTTTTTTATGTTTTATTAACTAAATCTTTAACTGAACATTTGAAATAATCAAAAGATGAATCAATAATGAAAATAGTAGTTCTAGTTACACACCACTGTGATACAAATTACAAATAAGTCATAATGATATTTGTCTCATTCCATTATTCATTTTATACCTCTAACTTTTGTTTTATATTGTGTGTGTGTATTAATTCTGTTTCCTTCAGCTAATCTGGCCCAGATAGCCTTCGAATCAGTGGTATCTATTGTCAACAGTCTTCATAACAGCCAGGAGCTCATCAGAGACCAGCAGGGTAGGAACAGCCTCTTGGCGACCTACCTTTACTGGGTGTTTCATCTGCCTGATCCCCCTCAAGACATGCAGAATGCAGGTACTGACATAAGGATTTATGCATTTGCATACTCTTTATTTTCCTCTGATCATATTTGCTGTTATTATTATTTTAAGAATTAAAAATTAATCTTTTTTGTGTTTGTGGACCTGTGTTCAGGTCCCGGGAGTATGATACCTTCGGCAGAGAGTCGTTACAGCACTATGGGTCGGGCCACGGCAGCCACAGTCGGCAGTATGCTTCTCCAGTCCAGAATCCGCAGCAGCAGCAACCCTGACATCCCCGGTCCGCACAACACAGCTGAAGACATCGAGGTCAAAAATATCCTCGCTGCTAAGGTATGGCGGGTTTCCCCAAACCAAATCTGCCCCGGCTTATAAAGTCAGTTTTGGAAGCTTTTGTAGTTACATAATATTCACATACACATATAAATAGGATTTAAAAAGTGCATGATATAAACTTTCACTGAATTTGCCCTATTTTTTTCTGAAAGTCCATATTTTCCATATCTATGGTTTTATGTACTAGATAAACTACACACATACACACAGTGCAGTATGTAAATATCCCAGCATGCTTACACATACACACAAAACTGTAATTTGCTATTCATCCCCACAGTACATTAGGTATTGTAATAGACCACTTGACGCCCACTCTAATGAATGCATCTATCACGTTCAATGTGATGGAACCTGGGTGTTTCTGTCTCTAGGGCCACAACAACCCAGGCAGCCGCATGTCCACCTATGTGGATGTAAGCAACCACAATAACCCCATAGGAAGCACCAGGCCCTCCAACAGAAAGGTAAAAAAAGTTCCCCCTTCCCCCACTACCAGGGTATGTGGTACAGTATGTGAGATAATACATCACAGGTTCCTGAATCCAGTTTGGAGCACTTTGTTGCAAACAGATTTGCGTTGCATTTCTCATTTCTAATGAGAAACAAATCTTAAAGCTGCTTTAATTCATCTACCCTAAAGCAGACCTGGTATCCCTCTGATCTGAAAAGTTGGATGGTAATATTAGTTGTCTTCTTAAGATGGAAATTAGAGCATAAAGATATGAATTGATGTCAGAGCTGACACTCACATTGAATCATTGAACCGACTCTGTGGCCCTATAGATGTTTGTTATGAGTATATACAATAATATGGTGCACAATGAGGTGTCCCGAAAAAAAAATGAGGAAATGGAGGCAAAGAATGTCATGACATGAAGCATCAATCAATTTAACTTAGTGAGTTCAACCTTTCACGTGCTACTAATAAAATATAAAAGGTTACTGTGCTGTTACAAATATGTAGTTTAATATAGTTGAGTTATAACAGAGATGTAGATCTGGTTTTAAACTTAGGAATAAATATTTGAGAAGTATCTATATATTATTTTAATTGACACCTGCATGTCTTCAAATAAGTATTTTGTGGTTGTAGTAGAATATGGTAATACATTTTATTGTAGGATGGATTTAGCCTGTAATGCTGAAGTAATTGCTGTTTATATTAATTCATTTACTATGTGGAGTCCTAGAAATAATGGATATTAGTAGCATTATTAGTTATGTTCAGTTTATATTGGTAATTATTAAATATTAGAAAGTGTTTCTTGTCTTATACTTTGTCAGAAGAAGTCTACACATTACTGTTAGAATTATGCATGTATTAAGCAGTACTCAGACTTTAAACATCCCATGTTGCTTGCAGCCACCAGTTCCCTCTGGTTACCACAGGGTGGGGGTGTGACACTGAGGACACTGGAATCGTGGTTGTTTGGTCTTTGGTCTACGTTTTCTTAAAAACAGATTAAAAAAAAATAATATCCAGAATGATACTTGCAGATACTTTATATTTAATCAAATATTCTTTATTCTATTATCTACCAAAGAGAGGCTGTTCCTCACTACAGTTTGTGTATTTTCTCTCTTGCAGCAGTTTCACGAGGAGTTGGCCCTGCAGATGGTTGTCAGCACCGGGGTCTGCAGAGAAAATGCATACAAATATGCCTGGTTCTTCTTTGAGCTACTGGTCAGTGTGCTTTTTTAATACAGGGTGGTTTTTGTGGTTTTTATTGACACTTGAAGAGAAAAAGTAAGGGATGCTTCTGATGTCCATAGCAAATGGATAAAGTAATAGAAATGACTCACACCAAATAGCAAATGACCTTGTTGGCCACACACCTTAAAAGATAAATGATGGTTTTAATGTGTGGTGTATAAAAGGGCATTTTGAAATCACTGCAGTCTGTAATTAATCAAGCTGCTTGACAATTTATCACTCTTTTGGAGTTTTGGAAGTGTATCATCACTCACATTCACTTTCATCCATTCTGTTCATCTCACTTATTTATGTTTTTTCCTTCAATAACTTCACAACAGGATGCCCCCATTTAATTAATAAAAGCTGTCTTTTGTAATTTGAATGAAAAATGAGAATAGAAAGTGATGATACATAATAAAAAGTTGCTCTTTTAATTTCAGGTCACCATTTTTATCAAATCAACTTTGCATCTGTCGGGTTACTTGACATATTGTTGACTTACATGCTCATTCATCACTCTTGGCTTCATATACTTTTCCCATGTTGTTCCTTATTTTGCTTTTATCTGATTCACATTTGTTGTGTGTGTGTTGATGTGTGATTGCTTAAACAGGTGAAAAGCATGGCTCAGCATGTGTCTCATCTTGACAAGCACAATGTCCCTCGAAGAAGCCGTTTCTCTGACCGATTTAAAGACGACATCACCACCATTGTCTCTGTGGTTACAGCTGAGATTGGGACCATCCTTGTCAAACAACATAAGGTCAGGAACATGATGACGATGATAACAATACATTTTACTCATCAATATCTCAGTTTGCAACTTAGTTTAGCATAAAACAAATATGTGTACCTTCTGTTTTTACTGGGTTGGATATAAGCAGATTCAGTCTCAGTGTACATGTTGCCAGTGTCCTCCAAACGCTAATTGTATTTGCTTCTGTGGTACCAAAAGCTCAGCTTTCACAACTGGTTAAAGATCTACTCAGTGCAGCTTACTGATTGCTGTTTGTTGATTGTTGTTGTTTTAGGAGGTAGAGCAAGCAGAGAAAGTCAACATCAGCCTGGCCTTCTTCCTGTACGACCTGCTGTCTCTCATGGACCGAGGATTTGTCTTTCAGCTTGTGAAAAACTATTGCAACCAGGTAGAGTAACACTGATAACAAACACGCGTCTTAAAATACATTAATTCAGTAAGTTCTTCTGTTGTATAATGTGCCTTTTTTCTGAAACTGTTGCCAAAAGGTACTATCATTTATTAGTTGATTGATTTTGTTTTTGCTCTATTTCCCTTCTAGATGTCAGCTAAGAGTGTGTCAATGCCAACATTGATCAGCATGCGTCTGGAGTTCCTGCGAATCCTGTGCAGTCATGAGCATTACCTCAACCTGAGCCTCTTCTTCAGCAGCCCTGCGTCCGCTCCAGCCTCACCATGTCCATCTATCTCCTCACAGGTCTGCCCACTTGTCAGCCAAAATGTGCACTTTTGTATATTTGTAAGTCAGGCGACAATACGGGGAATGTAGAAAGTCATTAGATTGAGTAGATGAGATTAGATGGGGCTCAGTTTGAAAAAAAACTGTTTAAAAAGTACTTTACTTTGCATTAAAGAAAAATCTTATCCTTGTTTTGTTCCCGCCCTTCTCATTGTTTCTGTCACTCCTTCATTTCAGAGTTCCAGCTCATTTAGTTTCCAGGAGCAGCAGAGGATCTTGGGTCTGTTTGAGCTTTCTCAGGATTTCAAACAGCAGCACTACCTCGCCGGTCTGCTGCTGACGGAGCTCAGTGCTGCCCTAGACATGGAGTCAGAGGGGTATGGAAATATAGACACCTTCAAGTTGTTGCTAAGATAATACCTTGTTGTTAAATAAAACTGTATGTAAGGTTTCTCCACTTTCCTTCAAGATTCCCAATAATTCACATTACCTTCCATGTATACATTGATCACAAATCACTGTCACAAATAAAAGAAAATCACAGACTCAGACTTGCAAGTTGATAACTGTTTGATATGGACACATTCTACAACCACCTGAAAGTGGTAGTAGTAAAGTGAAAAATGTACATAACATCTGTTTACTTCTAATGTAACTGGTTGATTGCAATAATAATTAAAAATCTGTATGTGTGTTCACAGTGGAAAGGTCCAGAGAAAGGCCATCAATGCCATTTACAGCCTGCTGTGTTCCCATGATCTTGACCATCGCTGTATTAAACCCGAGGTCAGAGCCAAGGTGGCTGCTCTCTACCTCCCCCTGGTGGGGATTATTATTGACTCCACTAACTATCTGGACTTCACAGGTATGTATACACACAAACACACAAGCGCTGTGAGACATGAATTGCATATATGCTCATTCAATTCAAATCTGTATGAACTGTAGACACATACAGTTCATAGAGAGTTAAGTTATTTACTGTAAATGAACACACAACAGTTGCATTTTGCAACTATATGACAACAATATTGTGCACACAGTTGTACACAAATTCATAATGAACTTACACTGTGGACAAAATCGGATTGATTCCTAAGTCTATTTTAAGATAAAGGATAGAGATAGATAAAGTCGTGGTAGTGTCAAAAGTGTTGCACAGTAAAAGCTGTGATTTATTCCTGCATGCTCTAGTCCTCTCTTCTTCAGTTAAACATATTTGACCCCTGTTTGTCTCCGTAGTTTCTGACACACGCGGCGGGAAAAACAAGACGGGCGGACCTGAGGATGACCTTGAAAATGCTTCACTCATCAATCAGTCTGTTGCCATGGCGATTGCTGGGAACCCTTTCAACACGTTGGGACGTAATGTTCTCGTTTCCATGGCGTCCCTGGTAAAATTCTGAAATTATTTCTTAATGTTAAAATGATTATGATTACAGTATGCTTTTCATTGTTTTTAAAAGTTCAAAAGTGCACGTCTGTGTGTGTGTGTATGTGTGTGTGAGTGTGTATCTGTGAGTATTCTGCCTCCTTACAGGTGAGCTGCACTGAGGTAGATTGATTAGCTGTCAGAGCCACACACACACTTCATCCATCCTGAAAAATCACACACACATAGACACACACGCACACATCTGCAGGAGATGGTTTATGGGCAGGCATTGCCATCATAAGTGAACAGGGCCGTCCTTACTGACAAACACATCCATCAAATGTAGCTACAGCAACAACACAGGCACTAAAACTGAACACCCTTCTCTTCCTCTTTCCCTGCTTCTTTCCAAGAGATGAATCAGTTCCTTGTATTCTGTAATACTGTTGTGGAAAAACTGATTTTCACAAAACTGAGCCATAGGCCTGGTATTCATCACAAATCCAAACATGGCTGGCAGAGCACTTGTTCCTTACTTTCAGGCATTTCCCCTTCAAACAATGTTTGAATCTTTTACTCTTAGCAACAGAAAGGATTTTTCACAAAAAGCATATTTTCAAATAAACAAGTGATGTTTTTGATTACATGCTACAAGTATCTGACGTTGGTTCTGGTGAGCTTCACTCAGTCCTGCTGTGAAACAGAGACCTGGAAACCAGGTTCTAGGTGGGACACCTAGAGCACTAGGAGGTTAATGGCTACATTTATCAAAGCTGCCACACAGTGAAGCAGCAGTAGCCCTCTATAGTAGCGATTCATCATCACACGAATGAAGGTGAATTAATCTGCAGTAGATTTAACACCTATTAAGATGAGGAAGAGAACCATACTTCACTAAAGTGTGGAAAGAAGTGACCGGCCATGTTTGTGGTTTAGAGAAGCTTGTGAATGATATACCATTAGTTTGTTAGGTACACTTATATAACTCAATGGGTAGAGCAGGAGCCCACCACTGACAGTGTTATGGATGTGTTTCGTAGTTAGGTTCAGCTATAAAAACGAATGAATTGTGCTGTAAAGCATTTTGGATCAAAGCATTCCCCTGACTATCTGTTATGTATATACATTGACTATAATTAAAGGACATCTATGCAGTAAATATATATTTACATTGGAATACTGTTTTGAATGCATCACTTTATTTATTTTCCTGGAGGTCATTTCTCAGTCTGGGTGCACATACAGCAGATGCATGTAGGGATGTTTGTGTGTATGTTTCTGAGTGAGTTCAGGTGCTTCTCTCTCTTCAGTGAGAGCTACATATTACTGTACCATGCTTCACATATATCTCTCTGCTTTTCTCTTACCAGCAAGGTAAATCTGTAGCCACCCTGGCAGCAGACACAAGTCGCCACCTGTTGGTGTGTTTCCTGTGGGTGATGAAGAACGCTGATAGGAGTCTGATTCAGCGCTGGACCACAGATATGCCTCCCTCTCAGCTCAACAAGCTGCTGGAGCTCCTCACTATCTGTGTATCCTGCTTTGAGTATAGGGTCAGTTTGCTCATGTATCGACTTGTGCATCAGTGCATTCATTGTCTATTTATTACAAAATATTAAAACTGTATGCACTTAGTGTTTGTGCCTGGTGAATATATGTTCATGTATGTTTATAGGGCAAGCAGAGCACTGACAAAGTGAGCACCCAGGCCTTACAGAAATCTCATCAGGCCAAGATGCAGCTGGAAGAAGCCCTGCTGAGAGGAATGGGAGCCCGCGGGGAAATGATGAAACGAGTTGGAGGTAGTGTATGTCTTGGAATTGCTTGTCTGTCAGATTTAGATCTGCATTTTCTGCAATATTTTGAAGTTTTGAACATGAACTTCCTCCAAAACTAGTGAAGACACAGATTTCAGTATTTTATAAGTGTGCGGTCAGCAAGTCACTGCAAGAACCAATTTCAGGTTACACAGTCTGTGCTTAGGCACTCTCAGTCTTTCTGTGATAGTCAGGAATTTTGAACAACTTATGCCTCATCTGTGTTAAGCAACATTTCAGATATGGGTGTATCTAGTGTATATGGACACCAAGTAAATGTTTAATTATTGTGAAAATGCAGCTTTAATTGTTAGTATGTATCAGCAATTGTTCATCTTTTAGTGTGCATTGATTCCTATGATACAGTTTAATACATATCTGTACTGAACTGCTTTTGAATCCCTCACAGGAATGGATAGGACCATGGGTCAGAGAGAGCACTTACGATGGAGGAAAGACCTCACTCAGTGGAGACAGACCAACGACAGACAGGATAAGTAAGTTATAACATGTCTGCCAGCCAGTATTTAAAATGTCCCTTCCTGCTTTCCTGCTTTATCAGTGTCTGTCCTTCTCCCTGCCTTTCTTTATTTTGCCTTTCCTTTCTAAATATCCATCTTACTCTTACCACCTTCCATCAGGACTAAAGCAGAGCTGGACCAGGAGGCTCTGATCAGTGGAAACTTAGCCACTGAGGGCAACCTTATAGTGCTGGACCTCCTGGAAACCATCGTACAGGTACATGTCATGCAATATCTTTAAGGACTATTATGTACAAAACTAGAACACATAGAAAAATGCAATGCAGTCCATTGATAGTTTGTCCTTTGTTATTAGATTGCACTATATTGTGAGATTTTCCTAATACTTTGCAGCAGCAGAGGGATCGCAGAATAGAGTAGAAACTGGTTCAATGCAAAGGTTAATGCTTTTAATTGCTGATAGTGAACACAAAGATGGCATAATGTGCCATCCACACATGTAAA